AGTGTGTGTGTGTGTGTGTGTGTGTGTGTGTGTGTGTGTGTGTGTTTCTGTTTGTCTGTAAGTGTGTGTCTGTCTATGATTACCGTCCCACCCCTATCTTTGACCCAGTTAGTCAGTTGCACTGTATCTAAACATACCATGTTCCCTAAATGGTTTATCTGATGACCTGGTTTATAAAAGAACAAAGAGTTTCGTACAGTTTTTCTTTTCTTTTCTTGTTTTTAAAAAAATAAATCCTACAAGGGCTGTGTTCATCTGAAGGCTATTTTCTTCATGTAGGTGTTTTTACACCCCCATCAACACAATTAGGTCACTCAGGAAGCAGGTTTCCCACAGTTGGTTCCCGACCTCATGGTTAGTAACTCAAAAAAGTTCTCCGTCGTTGTGGTCAGTTACAGGCGGTCAATGTGACGTCACGGGGTACCAGCAAACTCCGGAACTTGCACAAAGGAGACTCGAGTTCAATTCCCGAATGTGAAGACTTTTAAAATCGAGTATCTTGGTCTTTGTGCTGGGATGTTGTCTCCCTCTCAGTCTACCCGCTACAGCACAGAGGCTGGTGAGGAGGCAGAGATAAGAGAGGTGGAGACGAGAGGGTAAGATTGGCGTGGAGGAGACGGGAGGACAAGATTGGTGTGGAGGAGACGGGAGGGTAAGATTGGTGTGGAGGAGACGGGAGGGTGAGATTGGCGTGGAGGAGACAGGAGGGTGAGATTGGTGTGGAAGAGACGGGAGGACAAGATTGGTGTGGAGGAGGCGGGAGGGTAAGGTTGGCGAGTTGGGGACGGGAGGGTGTAAGATAACGGTCTGGTTCAGAACACGAAGACATGTTGTAACAAGGGACAGGTGGACAACTCTTGAAGAACAGGGGCACGAACCACAGACCCTCAGCCACTCAGCCTCTCAAGTCTCTATGTTATCCCAGAGAGTATTTAATTATAGTTACCCTCAAGTCTTTGTCTTGTAGAGAGGTACGCAGATTACTCATCAAGATAAATGGCGCGTCCGTTAATTGACAGGGAAAACAGGTCACCGGATAGCGCTGTCAGAGAGCTGATGGCCTGGTTTCGCCCCGAGATTGTGGTTGGTACTCGGGACCACAGATATTTGTGTCACGGTGCGGTAGAATCAGGAGCTCGTCAATATTAAATTTGGGCAATATGGAGTTATTTGTGTTATCTTAAATCGTATTCATTTGTATAGCTTTTGATTTAAAAAATACCTATCTATTTTGAATAGAAGTGGAGATATTTGTGGTTGGATGAGGTGAGGGTAGCCTGGTGTCAGGGGTAATGTTAACAATATTATTATCGGCTTGGTTTTATTTCATTATATTGACGAGCGTGGGATTTCGCTGCGACGCGTAGCATGTTTTGTCTGTGCTAAGGTCTAGTTAGATAACAGAACTAGCTGCTCTAAAAGTGGGAGATGTCCCGGGGAGG